GGGATTGAACTTAAACCCTTGTGGTTGCTAGGGAAGTGCTTATTCTAATGAGCCATCTCTGGTCCTGCTATTTGGCTGGCCCTATTATTTGTTTTCAATGAATGTGGAAAAATGTAAGATTATTATGTAGCAACTTAGGTAACAGTGTAGGTTATGGTCCTGCTTCTTCACTATTTGTCTAACCATGAGGAAGTTATCCTTTCTGTGTCTTTTCATCAACTACAACTTGAAGATAACAGTCTGTATCTCATAATGTGTGATGATACCAATCACATCATAAATGTTAGCTGTTACTATTAAAGAGACCTACAGTACACAAAGAATTACAATAAAATATTTTAGAAGCAATATCATACAAACATATGGAAAAAACCTGACAAGTCACTTAAACTGTCCTTAGAACAATCCAACGTCTTCAATGAGGTAGCTGAGGTGACAAAGAAAGTTCAAACAGGGTGTAATGCCACAATGCTGGGAGCTAGAGACAGAAGGATGAAAAGTACACGCCCAGCATGAGTAACTTAGCCACTAGGTAAGACCCCACCATTAAAAAAAAAAATTAAAGGGCTAGAAATGTAGCTCCTTGCAAAGGTCCTGTGTTTATCTCCCCACAGCAACAGCCCAAGATGCGGGGGGGGGGGGGGGATGCTCACCATAGGCTAGGTCTGGGGTCAGTGATTTCACAGTTACATATTACCATAAATCTGCAGGATGCTCCTTTCATTCTAGAAGAAAGCTCTGAGAAGTTAAACTTGCACTTGGGCAGGCACACATAAATGAAAAGAAACATTTTTTTGTTTACCCTCCTGAGCAAGGGAGGAAATCAGCCCCTACAGCATGGTAGATAAGTGGGTAGGTAAGTGTTCTAACACTGAGCTACATCTCTGGCCCCAGGAGCTAAGCTTTCTGTTATAAAAACTCAGTGGATCACTGGTCCCGTCCCTGGGCATGCTGAGCCAACCACAGGGACGGGCGTAGTGGTACAAACCTGTATTCCCAGCGCTGAGGAGGCTGAAAACAGGAGGATCATTTGGAGCCCGAGCTGCTGGTGAGACTCTACCAAGTACATTAAAATATAAATAAATAAAAATAATCAGTGGATCAGGCCAGGGATATAGCTCAGTGGCATAAGTGCCTGCCTGGCAAGCTCAAGGTCCTGAGTTTGTTCCCCTGCACCAAAGAAATGAGATCAACTCTGTAGATTGCTCTTCAAAGGGTATAAGCAGCTGGATCAGCGAATACAAGGCATGCTGGATTTCTGTCCTGCACATTTGCCTTAAAGCTGAGGTATAAGGTTTATTTATTTTATTTTTTATAAAACACAAAGTGGAGAAAAAAGAAAAAAAATTAAAAATACAGAATTTCACTAAACAAAATAGGAATTTGACAATGGTTGTTGTATTGCTTAATATCTTCAAATTAGTTGTTTAGAGTACCTGATATTAGCATGCAAAATCAGAAAAAAGTTATAAGAAATTAAAGAATAAAAAATTTAAGCATTAACTGCTGTCATTAGCAGAAATTAGCAGTACCATTATCCAAGCTCTCATGTATATATACATAAATATGTCTTTGCCCCTTCTTTCTTTTGTCCTTTTCAAGGTACAGAATTCAACGCAGCCCCACAGAGCGAATGGAAGTCGCAGGTCAAGAGCGTGGGGAGGGCGGCCAATCCGGGCAGCAGGGACAGCGCAGCGGGGACACCAGCCCCACCAGCGCAGCCTCGAGCCCGCGGCCTGAGCGAGGGTTTCTGTACCCCTGAAGGCGAGCAGGGCTCCGCCCGACCTAGGCTGGTCACACGCCGCCACCTGCAGGTCAGAAGCCACCAGGAAGACGCCAACTCCTCTGCGCTCTCAGAGCGCCCTGTCACACTTCCTGCCCGCGCGCCGCAGTTCTGGTCACGTGCAGACATGGTCACGCGACGCGACATCACGTGGCTCCGAGTCACGTGAGGCCCGCCCCGCGGGGGCTGCGACGGGGGCTCGGCTTCCGGGCTCGGTGGTTCCGTCCGCAGCTGGCGTCTCGCCGCGAAGCGGCTGAGCGCAGTGAAATGGTGAGGGCAGCGGGCAGGGCCGGGCAGGGCAGGGCTGGGCCGGGCCGGGCTGCGCTGGGCCAGGCGAGGGGGCTCGTCGCCGCCCGGGGCTCAGCCTTGTCTCGTCCTTTCCGCTCTAGATGAACCAGGCGACCCCCGACCCCGAGCGGGCGCCGGCGTCCGAGGCCGTATGGGAGCGGCCCTGGTCGGTGGAGGAGATCCGCAGGAGCAGCCAGAGCTGGTCGCTGGCGGCCGACGCGGGCGTAAGAGGCGGGCCGGCGCGCGGGGGCGGGAGGGCGGGCGCCGCGGCCCCTGGCCGCCCCGAGGGACGCTGTCCCCTCTTACGTGAGGTCTCCACGGAAGTCCTCAGGCACAGGGAAGGGGGCGGCCGTGGGCCTGTGCTCCTGAGTACCCGGCCTAGACCCGTTGGGGTGTCCTAGCGGTGCATCACCCTGGGCCAGTGGGCACGTATGTTCTGCCAAGCTGAGGATGGCTGTGGCCCTCCGGAGGCGATTGTGCTGGGAGCTGGACCTAGTTGGGAGGGAGACCGCAAGCATGCAGAGAGCCCTTAGTGGGACTCTTCAAGCTTAGGGACCAGAAAGCCCAAAACTCTGATTCCCAAGTCTCAGGTGAATAAAAATGACAACCTGACAGGATTTCAAAATTCCTCAGAAAGCAGGTAGTCCTTAAATTCCTGTCCAGGGAGCTTTCTTAATGTTTTTCAATGCGCGTACCCTCAAAGCATCCAGCTTTGTACATCCTAACACACGAAAGTGAAAGGATGTGGGTTCTTTTTGTTTTGACACATGGAACAGGTATGTGTAAAACTGATATTTCTGCGTGTTTATTTTAAAATAGCTACTACAGTTTCTACAGGAATTTTCCCAGCAGACCATCTCTAGGACCCATGAAATCAAAAAACAAGTGGATGGGCTGATTCGGGAGACGAAAGCCACAGATTGTCGCCTTCACAATGTCTTCAATGACTTCCTCATGCTGTCTAATACCCAGTTCATTGAGAATGTAAGTTTTTAGTTACATCGTACTTATAAGTAGTACCTTTGGGGAAGCAAAAACTATTGTGACTCTAAATTCTGTCATTAATTTTAGTGGACAAAGTTGTTCTCAGTAAACAAACATTCCTTCCTTAGCATTAGTACCTGTTCTTTATTTGTAAAGTTTGGACTTTTTAAGCCTTTATAAAAAATCTAGTAACATTTTCTCATATTCCAGTCTTTACCTTTTTAGTTTTGCGACTAGTCAAGTGCAAAATCCTCTGGCCCTCAAACCTGTATCTGTAAGGAAAGCTATCTTCTTCTAAGGCTATGACATATACAAATCATTAAAAAAAAAAAGTTCAATCTTGCAACATTCTAAAAAGCCCACAATTTAGAACTAGGAGAACACAATGAATGCTTCGTGGGAGGCAAGTATGTGCATATTTTAGTAGCTCCAGTTGAAATGCCGTTTCTACCCTCTTTGCAAGGAACTATATGTGAAATGAACTAAATGGAGATCTCTTTGCTAGTTACTTTCCTTGGTGGCAAAGGGAAATTTGTGAGTTTGAAATACAACAGCTATTTAAGTGAAAGTATTACAGATTGAGTATCCGTTATCTGGAATTCCTGGGACCAGAGTGTTTTAGATTTCAGATTTTGGCGTGGGATATTTGCATAGACTATACAGATTCAGCATCTCTTGTCTAAAATGCTCAGGAATCTAAAACGTTTGAGCTTCAGATAAATGCTCAAAAATTTTGGATTTCAGATTTTCAGATTAGGGATACCAACCAGAGGTGGTTTTCTAGTCCGGTACACAGGATGGCTATACTTGGTTCTGAGCATTTCCCTTCCTGAAACAGTACCTAGGATATGGATCTCTAGTTACCTGGTAACTACAGCCTGATCTCAGAATTTGGTGTCCTTTTGAATATTCTTGTTGCTGGATCAGGTGCTCACCTCTCCTCTGCAGTCAGTAAGTGTTGCACCCCTAGACCTGGTGAGTAGATTTTGGAGGTTTTCTTATTTACCAAGCATGCCCATATCAGATTGGCACCTGATTGTTACTGGATCAGTCTAACAGTGGAGAGAAAAGAGGTGTATGATAGACTTTATTTTCTGAATCATGGTCTTCAGGTCTTTTTTATTTTCTAGCTTTTCTTTTCTTAGATTCTGCATTTTCCATGGCCTTACTTTCTTGCATTTTGTTTTTTGTTTTGTTTTGTTTGGATAGTAGTTCTTTATTTCTCCCCTTTCATGCAGATTTCTTGTTTCCCTCTCCCCATCTTCTTAATGTTAAATCCTTAGCCCCCTTCCACTTCCAGTCTGCAGCCAATTCCTCTCAATCCTGCTGGAGCCACTGTGAAGTACAACTACTTCCCAGTCCTCCTATAACGCCACTTTGCAGGTACAGAGCAGCCAATGATACTGACAGAACAGCTAATGTTTGATGAGGCTCAGAAAAAACTGAGCCCTGATAAGAGGCAGTGACCTGACTTTTCATGTGTTTTGTACAAACCCTGGTGTTAGGACTTATATTTCATGCATGGTTGAGTGATGGTACTGTTTGGTTTCATGCTTGTTTGCTGGAAAGAATCAGGTAAGCTTTGAGGGTTTATTAAGTAGCCTTAGAGGCAGGTGCACAGTTGCTAACCACATTTGAGAGTTAGTGAAACACTGTGGACTTTCTAGGACAAGAAAAATTAGCACCTTTGGTAAAACCTCAAGAGGGGACCCTGAAGGAAAAATGCTAATTAATGTTGGCAGTGTTTCCTGTCCAATTAAATGACACAGTTCTTAAAGCTTCATTATTTGTTAATAAAGGAACTTTTATCTTGAAGTACTAAGTGCCATATTAATAACTTGAGGTAGTTAAAAGATATCACAAAGGAGGATTTTTTTTAAAAAGTCATGTGTTTCAAAATCTTTAGCTTTGTAAAACTGAAAATGTCTTTTCCAAAATAAAACTTAAATTAATTTTCCAGAGCATCTTCTTGTTAATTTATAAAAGTTTTATAAATTTCTCTTGGAGAAACATATATACTTGCCAAAAATTTTCAGATGCTTCAATAATTTGGGGGACAGCTTAGGGCCTTACTAAGCTTCCCCCATCAAGAGTTAGAAAAGAACTCAGTGTTTTAGGAAGTATCTTCTAAGTCCATGTTCAGACAGATACTGTGTTTAAAAAATTGAACCTATAGGAAAAT